TAAAAAAAGCTGAAGCACCTGGACTTCTATTTTGTAGTTGAAGACGTGGCGTTCTAAGCTTTAAACTGCATGATGTAATTTGGTATAACTCTCCTTCACTGACATAAAAGTTGGATGAAATGTTATTGATGAGACTGTGTTCGCTTTGAAAAACATCAAATATGTAAGCAATTTAGTAAGACATACAAGTGACCCAGGTAAGATGTGGAAAAAAAATGGATTTGGACACATTCTGTCGTTAAAAAACATCAGACCTAGGATGAGTGCTGCGGGCAAGCAAATTTTATTTAGGCCACTTTTTCCTGCAGTGTGAATGCAACCTACAACCATTTTACATTAAACATCAAGAAAAAGAAGAAAATAAGAAAGAAGTTGGAGCTGTTTTGATCAAACTTTGAAAATGACATTTAGGTTAATCTCATGAATGTGAATGACTCTCAGCTACAACCACACCAAACAACACATCTGTAAAATTGACTGAATTCTAGCCATAATTGTGTTTTAACGATTGGGTGGCTGTGACAGCCACCTTGAATTTGGCTCCAAAAATTATTCAGCAGTAGATGTACATTCAATAATTATTTCCTGAAAGTTTCATTAAACTCTGTCAAGAAGTTTATGTGATATTTTGGACGCACACACGCAAAGATAATTTCAAGTGGTTAATGGAAAAATTTCTAACAAAGATCCTGCACAGCCTGCTAGCACTCAGAATATACGTTGGAGATTAGTTTCAGCCAATAACACACAGATTATAGATCAATATCTATAAATTAGACTGAATTATAGCCAATTTGGTATTGTGTATCTGTAGGCTTTGGCAGCCATATTAAATTAGGTTGATTCTGAAAGTAGTAGATGTCAATGTAATGATTACTTTCAGCAAGTTTAATTGAAATTAGCCGAGTAGATCGTGGTATATTTTGGTAACAGAAACACACACACACACAAACAAAGACTTTATCATTCACCTTCGTCTTTGGGCAGCAGATGATAAATATAGTCTCGTGGACAACAGGGATCAGTTACAGGTAGCAGGAGGACTCATTTGAAGCTAGAACACAGGAAGTATGAATAATTTATATCACACTTAACCGTAAAACTCAGTTTAACCTCTGTCAGCATTTATTTGAATTAGTGTGTATTAAACATAATTATCTGTCTCGGACTGCTTTAAGTGGTTTTACAAAAAACTACATCGAGCCTGAGGTGCTGTTGCCTCTGTGTCTGTTACTGCAGGAATGGGAGTAATGATCTGAGGTGCAGCAAAGTGATGATAATGGTGCAACAGGGGCCGGAGCCAGAGTGATGAGAAAAACAAACAGTACCACAAGCAGACGGCGCGTCTGCAAATCTGTTGTTAATACCCCACAGTCATGTCATTTCCTCTTCAACAACAATACTGTCCAACAGTCGTTTGTCTCAGAAAAGACTGTGACGTAAAGTCACCGCCAAAGCTTCCAGATGGTTTGTTCATGACCACACGCAACCGCTCATAGATAATATTCTTGTTTAGATCTCAACTTCCTCCTGCAATAACACACATGAAAAGAAAATTACTGCGAAATAAACAGCTGAATGCGACGTCTGCTGATGGTTCGCCTTTCACCAACACTCATCTTCTCTAAAACAGACAGCAATTATGACTTCATTCTCACTATTTGAGTCATCAACGGGGCAGACAATCTGATTCAATTTAAAGGCCATAATGACTGAACACGCTGACTGTAATCTGGCTGCTCTAAAAACAAAGAGAGCACACTTCAAGCTGCTAAACTCAACTTTTGCTAAAGGCCGGAGGTATTTGGTGTGTCTACTGGCGCTGTGAAATTTTAATGAGGGAGCATTTCAGATATGTTTCTTGTGAAGCTAAAACCTTGCTGCCCTCTGAGGTTGCACTAATACCCAGCAGAACAGTTTGTTTTCTCCCGTAAGCGGTTTCGAGCGCTGTTGTTGACTTCTCCTGTGGAACACACTCAGAAAGAGCTCCTTCGAGTATAGATTCGATTTTAAAGGAAAAATAATGCAAGTTCTGAGATCAGGGCAACAGGAAGGGCGGTCAATTATTGGGATGCATTTTACTAAAAAATAAAATTAAAAACAGCCAAAGAGACTCATGTGTACAAATCTGTTGTACAAGAGAAGGTTACAAAAATCCCTCACAGCTGTGGCTTCTCCTTTCTTGCAAACTGACACCAAATTTGTACCAGACATATTTTTAAGGGAACTACGATTAATTATAGCACAAATTTCCTATTTATCAATCTTGACTCCTGACACATCAAACACTTGATCTTTTTGTAAATGGTATTACGTAATATTTTTTATAATTTTACAGGGATCGTTGATGAGAAGGAACAATAGACCTTGTTTGATCATTTCAGTAGCTCATAATTTGTGTTGACACATCATAGTTTGAGATTTTTTTTTTTTTTGTTTGATTTATTGGTTATTTATTGGATGTATGTCTTTTGTTTGTAAATTTGTATTTATTTAGATCTGTATATTGTAAAACAGCTACAGATCAGTGACGATTATTCAGTGACCACAGAAAAGTTAAAATCCAAGTCAAATTCAATCCTCAATGTGGTTTTCAACAATCTTTAGAATGAGGAAAACTACACCCATATTTGATGTAAATTGACATTTATTTGCCATTAATCACCATACCAAGTGAACACATTAAAAATATTTATGTAGGGAATACTGTACTGATAAGTGATACTGTTATAATTAATATAACTATTAACATGAACCATGTTTGGCCATGTCAGCTCAACACCCAAGTTATTTACCGATTATATAGTAGTAATAAGTAGAATATAGCCGTAATAAGGGTTCCATCTGTTCATTTTACAACAGTATATTTGACTGTAGAGCTTTGGCATCCCCTTCGAAAATCACTATTAATAAATCACTGTTTATTTTCCTCCCCAATAATTAAATGGAGTTTCTGCCCTTGCTCCCCGTGGCTTCACTCAATAAAACCTTTGACTGGATTTATGTGTACTCATGTACAAACGTGTGATTTCATCTGCATTGTTTGGATGTACTAGAATTAGAATGTGTGTTTGCAGGAAAAAAGTACAGGTTTAGATTGATTTCTAAGAGGAGACAAGGAGTATTGAGAGCATAATATCTCAAGTGAGTCCCAAGCTGTAGAAAAAATAAAGTATAAGACAGAGAACAAATGATAAGGAGAAGAAAAAAAAACAGCTCAGAAAAGACGGGTGTTTTTCTTAAAATGCACAAATTGATTTTTTTTTCCCTTGATGCCTTCTTGTTTAACCGTTATTTTAATCTGATCTTAATCATACACATTTTATAATTTCTCCTTTTTGTCCATTTCTCATTGACAGATCTCTGATAGCCTAAAAGGCCATGCATTAAACTTTGTATATATCAGTCAAACCTCAGTTCACAGCATGAAGTCCATGTGCTTTAAGAAGACAGAGAGCTCTAAGAAGACTCAATATTTTTAATATTCTCCTTTATGTCCCATCATACACAGTCACCATGAAATCCTTTAGGTGGCTCCATAAATGGAAAACGAATGAGATGATGTGCTCTCAGCATCTAAACTATGTTCTTAGAAGTTATCTCCAGAGTAGATTTGTTTTCATTCTGATTCATATTCTAGATGCTGGCTTCAATTTTAGGGCAAAAACATCCAATTTAAAGCTGGAGATGAGACTTGTGACATCCTTTTAAGGCCGGTAAACAGACTCTAGGCTCCATATAGTCTCTTGAGAGGAGTGAATTTATAAGCAATTTTTTAGAAAATGTGTTTGAGATGAATGACCAAAGCAAAATCAGATGTAACAAACTCCAAAAGGAAAGGTTTCCTCTGAGTGTTTTGATATCAAATAAGATAATTTAATAACTTAATAACTTCCCAGCAGGTGTGAGCCCATCTGTATTTGTCCATGATGTGTGTCTAACAAAGCTTTAAAAAAAATGTTGTTTGGGCTGTAACATAAGAACAAGCCTGTCTCTTCCCCTACAACATGTAAATTGAGACAAAAATGATTGTCCAGAAAATAGTGCGTGATAGCCTCTAAATTACATCTAAATTTGTCTTTTATTCATTCCACGCTTTAATAAAAGACATTGACATTTTACAAAGACAAATTAGCTTCATGATACAGTTCTAAAACAGAACTGTGTAAGTCACTATGATGAGTCAGTGAGGAACAAACCTATAACAGACCTATAAATATCACTACAAACTTTGATCACAGAATCAGAAGGAATACGGGAAAGTACCAATAACTGTTAGGGCATGGGATAAAACCTTTGGGAAAATGTAAGAATGTGCTCAAGTCTTCAGCAGCTTGTGAATTTATGGAATACTTATGGAATCCAGACAAAATGAGGTTTCAACACAGAAACAATCTGACTTATCTACAGAATAGCATGAGCTTTATAGATTGTCTACAAATGCCTAATATTTGAACCTTCGGGATGAAACATCACGTGTTTGTCGCTGACTACGAAAATTAGCAAATATCTCACCTTTAAACAAGCATTAGAATAAGTTTATTTAAAGTATTTTTATATTCAAAAGATCTGGGTTAAAACTTGTGAGAACATTTAAATCTCTGCTTTCCAGCACACTCAGATGAGCCTCGTCTGTTCCCAAAGAATGCATCAAACATACAATCTCTGGGTTTACAAAGTTGCACAACAAATCACAAATGTTACTACAACCTCTGACGTGTGAGGATCTGTCACAATCACAAAGTTTCCATTCCTGTATAAAAGCTGCAAGCTTACGATTATTTAAGAATTGTAGATCTTTGTGTTCACAACTACTTAAATGAGAAATCTATGGCTTATAACCACTTTCAAATATAAAAACAAACCCATCCATCCATTATCTTTTACCCACTTCTTCCATTTTGGGTCACAAGGTAAAAACAAACCCAATATTTTAAAATATTAGCTTATTAACATTTTTTGAACACTGACTGATGTTGGTGTTAGTTGTCAGAATGTGATTACTTACGATCTAAGCCATTGATGTACTTCATGGTGATTTCACAATGCCCCCATACAGCACTGACGACAGGATACAGCTTCTTTCCCTTTAGGCCTCGAAATGCCACTCCTAGATACTGTCCATCAACCATAAAGCTTAGCGTTCCTTCGTCCATGTCCAGAATCACTAGCAGAGAGTCTGGTAGGGTGAATGACTCCTCCGGCTCCAGGAAACAAGGGTATGAAGGCAGCAAGCTGTGGGATCGATTCTTACTGTCATGGTAGAGCCTGTTACGCCCCAGATCCCAGCCCCAGGACTCACAGTCTGATCCCACTAATGCTGTGTACCCAACAGAATGTAAAGGAGCTTCGGCGGTTGCCACACCAACCACAGCATGGGTGCCTCGCTGCCGGGCAGGCCAGTGGATCTTCCATACATGAAGACCCCGGGTGTATCCAACTCGTCCTCTTATGCAGTCCGTGCTCTGAGCAACTGGGTGACGATGAAATGTCAGCTTATCGTCCTCTTTGATGAAAATATTGAGCGAGCGGTCATCAGCGTTCCATGCGTGACGAAGCTGGGTATCTAGTCCAGCGCATGGCATGTCCAGTAAGAGGTCCAGCCTCGGCGGCTTGGAGAAATCCGGACCCCTTAGCTCAAGGTGCTGCCGACGATGAGCCGTGGGTCGGTATGATGGGGAGCCGCCACTTTCCCCTCGACCATCCACCGATTTAATGCTTCCAGAAATCTTCTGTCCCATGGCTGTAATGGAGGGGGTCACAGAAGGAAGGGAGGAGGGTGTAGGTGCAGGCGAATGCTGCAAAGTGGGGAGCTTGACGTTACCTCATCTGTGCGGCGAAGTTAAGGAGTGAGTTCCTAACAGGAGAGTGAAGATGGGAGATGAAGGAGGTGGATATAAAGAATGGCAGATGTATCTGATTTAGTTTCATGCCACTGTTGTCTTCATCAAGATCTGCTGCCAATTCTGTGAAAAAGGACAAACAAAAGGCAAATTAAACCCCTTGATCTTATATTCACTGTTTTCAGCAAACCGCAGTAAAGTATAAAATGTCAATGACAATAATTAAATTAAAGAAAGAAAAAGGGGAAAAAAACTAAAATGGGCACACTCTGTTTTCAATATTTGCTGTTTTGTTTTTATTTGAAAGACCAATGATCACGACTACATCACAACACACACAAACACCTAAATGCATATAGACCTTGTCTGACACATCCCACAGCTTTCAGACTTATATGCCAATATCAATGCATGTATTTTATTTATTTTTAAACATGTCCCAGTTGTCCAAAGTTTCCCGCATCTGAACCTGGCATACATTCATTTAGCTAATGTAGTTTTAATGAGCATTACCTGAGCCAGCAAAATTATCAGCTGGAAAAACAAAACGTGCTGACAATGTAACTCCGATCTATAGTGAGAAACAGATTTGACAAAGTCAGCTGGCCTTAATCAGTCCTCATCCTCACTTAGACAGATGTCACATGTTATACACAACTGACTGTGCTCTGTCATCTACAAATCAGTGCGTGTTTACACAAACATGTCCAATGCAAGTGAGTAATAACCACAAGTTTATTCCTGGTCGTATTGTTAGAATGCACTTCCCAACTTTATATCAGTCTCAGTGCAGCATCTGACTTTCCAACGTGGGTGCTAAAGTTCTTTATTTTCCACATAATTTTACTTCCAGTTTCTGTTTATGTGGCTATAACTATACCAGGTATGTAACACAATGTTAAAATAGTGGGGGAGTTTTGGTTGATGATTTTAAATTGTAATTTGTAAAGTTGTTTTTAAAGAAATTGATATCTCGCTCCTATCTCGTTGATCTGCTGCAGCCATATGTCACACAGAGCTCTCTGAGGTCAGCAGACCAGATGTTTTTATTGGTTCCAGGCACTCGTTTTAAGATCAGAGGTGACAGGGTTTTTCTCTGTTGCAGATCCAAAACTGTGGAACGAGTTACCACTGCATGTCAGGCAGGCTCCCTCTCACTGTTTTTAAGTCTTGTTTGAAAACTCACTTTTATTCCCTTCCTTTTGACACAGTGTGAGTTGCTTTTAACTTGTCTGTATTTTATAATGTTTAGCCATTTAGTTTTTATATTTACCTATTAGATCTATGTATTTTTTGCTATGTCCTTTGCTTGTTTTGTTTTTGCTGTACAGCACTTTGGTTGGCTTTGTTGCTGTTTTAAGTTCTTTATAAATAAAGTTGTATGGTATGGAGCAGCACGGTGGCGCAACTGGTAGAGCTGCTGCCTCTCAGCGAGCAGGTCCTTGGTTCAAACCCCGGTCCAGGGGCCTTTCTGGGTGGAGTTTGCATGTTCTCTCCGTGCATGCGTGGGTTTTCTCCGGGTGCTCCGGTTTCCTCCCACAGACCAAAAACATGAATGTTAGGCTGATTGGTAACTCTAAATTGTCCCTAGGTGTGAATGAGAGTGAATGGTTGTTTGTCTCGTTTGTCTCTTTGTGGCCCTGTGATGGACTTGCGACCCGTCCAGGGTGTACCCCGCCCCTCGCACAGTGATTGCTGGACATGGGCACCAGCGACCCCCATGACCCAAAATGGAATAAGCGGGTAAAGATAATGGATGGATGGGTATGGTATGGTATGGTAGAAGTACATTTGTTTTGAGATACAGCATGTTCTCAATCCAAGCCAAAGTTAGTTACCACATAGTTCAGGATTTACTAATTTAGCCAACAACAGTTGAACGTTAATACCTACACTCCCTGGCCAAAAAAAAAAAAGTTGCCACCAAAAAAAAAAGGTTGCACACTAATATTTTGTTGGACCGCCTTTAGCTTTGATTACATCATACATTCACTGTGGCATTGTTTCGATAAGCTTCTACAATGTCACAAGATCTATTTTCATCCAGTGTTGCATTAATTTTTCACCAAGATCTTGCATTGATGACTAGGCACTAGGCATTTTTTTTTCTCTCTGTTCTCTGGTGAAGACAGACGTGTCTCCCTGTGCTCCACCCCCCCACCCGCTTCCCTGCTTGCACTCTTACGTCCTGTGAAACCTTAAAGCGCCTCTTTTTTTTTTCTGCATACCTCCTAATTCGAAAGATTAGATGATCTCTCAACAAAATTGATGAACTTCTCCCAACAGGAGTCAGGGTAAGGAGGACCCTCTTACCTCGACGGAAACCAGTTGGATTCATGATGACATCTGTTTTTTTTGCTGTTTGGCTGGTGAATTCTGGATTGTCTATAAATTTGTGTGGATGGGTCAAAGCTTGACAGCGCCCAGACTGAATTATGTGTAATTGCATCAGCGAACTGGAGCAGCTGTTATCAGGACTGTGAACTCTCTAGCAGCACACATGAAGGTGGGAATAATCTTGGAGAAGCTGTGAGCTCAACTTTTGGCGTAAAGGATCAATTCGGCTGTTTGAAGTTTCCATCAGAGGAATATACCAGCGAGACTTTAAAAGGCAGAAACAGCAATTCACAAGTTCTGCCTGACCCAAACTGTGGCCTTGATGGCGGACTTATCTCAACTCCTCCTGGCATGTTTTGAAAATAACAAAGATGTTTTGTCTGTCTCCTCACCCCTCCCTTCCCCAAGGCCGTGGACATGTGACAGAACCTCAACCGAGCTGATGATACTATGCTACGACTTTCCCTTAAAAATTCAATGTCTTCACCGGCCTATATGTAAATGTATCATGTCTATTTATGTTGCTTTGCTGTGGTAGGTTTTTTTGATGCCTCAAATCGTGCCCTGTCTAGGGCACGGAGTGAGAGATCTTTTTTAATACTGTCTCTCCTCATGTTTTCTTCCCTTTTCTCATCTAAGCAAAATATTATTCTGAATAAGAATAAGAGGGCTGCGCTTCCATAGTAGCAGCTTCGTGCACTCCGTCCATCTTTCAGACGACTGTACGCACATGTTCTTGTTGTATCTCGGTGCAATGATAATAAAGTTTATTCTGATTCTGATGATGGGTGCATTACTTCACCTGTCTCTCTTCTTACCCTGATGCGCCCAACACTCTGGAACAGGGTAAATCTGGACTCATCAGACCACATGACCTTCTTCCATTGCTCCAGAGTCCAATCTTTATGCTCCCTAGCAAACTGAAGTATTTTTTTCCAGTTAGCCTCACTGATTAGTGGTTTTCTTAAAGCTACACAGCTGTTCTGTCCCAATTCCTTGAGTTCCCTTCATATTGTGCGTGTGGAAATGTTCTTACTTTCACTATTCAACATAGCCCTGAGTACAACTGTTGTTTTTCTTCCATTTGATTTCACCAAACGTTTACGTGATCGCCAATCTCGATCATTCAGGATTTTTTCCGGCCACATTTCTTCCTTGAAGATGATGTGTCCCCACTATCCTTCCAGTTTTTAATAATGTGTTGGATAGTTCTTAACCCAATTTTAGTAGTTTCTGCAATCTCCTTAGATGTTTTCTCTGCTTGATGCCAATGATTTGACCCTTCTCAAACAAACTGACATCTTTTCTACAATCACGCGATGTGTCTTTCAACATGGTTGTTTAAGAAATGAGAAGCAACTCATTGCACCAGTTGGGGTTAAATAACTTGTTGCAGCTGAAAGATAATAGCCCATGAAGTAATTATCCAATAGGAGGCTCATACCTATTTGCTTAGTTAAAGCCAGGTGGCAACTTTTTTTTTTTTTGGCCAGGGAGTGTATTTTAGCAAATTAAAGCAGCGCAGGAGATAATATCGCTCCCACCCACACACAGTTTGAGGTGGTAAAATTAGCATTGTGATCTCTTCCAGGAACAACAGCTGAAACTTCCTCTTCACAGGAAAAGAGTCACAGAAGTGAATGACACAACTCTGTATGACACCTCAAAATGAATGATGCACATCATTATTTTAGATGTCAGCAATGGAGTGAGGGTAAAACATTATGTTCAAAAAGGTTAATTACAGGAATAACAAAGTCCATGCTCAATAATCCAGGTATATAATCCAACATTTTTCAAAAATGTTAGATTAATTACAGAAAGTGAAGCCTCTGCTGTTTACAATAAAACTATTAAAACTATCCAAGGTTTAAAAGACAAATGCTTTACCTTAACGTTGTTGTTTTATCAGCTAAACTACTTAAATCTCAAAAGTTACATAACTTTTTATGTAAATACTATTTTTTAACTTTATACTGGAGGTGGATGTTATAATCTATTTTTAGATGCATCAACTTCCAAATGTCAAGAATCAATTTTGTTAACTTTAATCCATGCTGCTACTTTAAGATTTCATAGAGTACCATAGTTGCTGTGTGGGGCCGTTTGTACAAATTGAGTTACACCCAACCCGCATAATGTTAATGCCAGAATAACTACATAATACATAACTGATGAAGGGGTAAATGTTTATAAAATAGTGTTTGTATGAATCACTATAAAACTTTAAGGTTGAGGTTGGTTTAAGACAGCAGCAATAAACTTTGGTTCTGGCCATGCTCAGACTAGCCATTAGCTCATCAGTCCAGTCAGAAATAAACTAAAGCTAGCTGAAGTTAACCCCAATTTATTTTAACCAATCCTAATCTGAATTAAACCTTAAAACTATGTCCTGGTCACATTGCCAGTGAAACAGAGTAAAGAACTGAGAGTTGATACAAATAGTTTTTCTTTAAAAAACATATTTAAAAAATGAACTAAAACTAGTGCAGAAGCACAGATGCACAACAAATTCAAGTCTCACTCAGGCTAGTTGTATTTTCAACATCCTGTATGTTGTT